ATTCCTCGATTAAACTCTACCACTTATTCTCATTTCTAACCATAAAACTTGGGTTCTATCGATCAAATCAAATTCAACCTAAAACGGAAAATGAGCAAAACTCACCCCAATCTAAAAACAAACCAATAGAAGCATACATGATCATACACATCGAAAGAATAATAAAGTTTCACACCCTTACCCGATTAATCGAAGCTTAGAAGTTGATTCTTGATGATTCTAGGTTTTCTCCTCTTCCTCCTCTTTTCTCTTCTCTTCTTTCCTTTCTATTTCTTTCTATCTCTTTTCTTTTCCCTCTATTTCCACTTATACTCTTTCTATTCTATTTCTTTCAAATAACAACTAATTAAGGATTATCTAAAACGCGCTCTAATTAATTCCCCCAAAACTCTCCGAATAATAAAATAACATAACACACACACATAACATATTAATATTCAAATTCCACAATTAAAAGAATAATCAATCAAAGTAAATTAAAAGGCTCAACAAAAATGGGAAATTCAGAATCAGGGCGTTACAGACCTCAATTGTACTATTGGATAAAAATATTGTTAGATAATGTCATTCAATATTCTAATCTCAATATTCTCTATTCTTTCATCATCTTCCCCAATTAACCTTTCTATCACCACAATAACAACTTCCACCATTGATTTACCTTGAACAAGTTTGATCTTATTCCAACATATCCAACTGGATTCATCTCCGATTCCCGGTCCAACCGATTGAACCGAATGGTTCAGTCTGATATATTTTTAAAATATTGATAAACACATAAATAAATAAATAAATAAATAAATGACTCACGTCTAATTGATTTATAATTTTAAAGGATTAGTATGTTAAGTAAACAAATAAATACATGACTAGTTTATTATAATATAATAAAATAAATGGTTAATCTATAACATATATAAAGGCAAAACATGATGTTTTGGTGTAACCTATTTTTCTACCAATTTTACCCTTTAATATATAACTTACAAAATAACTTCTACTGAAACCACTACTATCATCTTTCACATAACTTTCTACTAGCGTCCCGACAGACACGTCGCGTGCCCGTTTGTCCCTTTTTTTTTTAATGCGCATGAATGAAAATCTATAACATATATAAAGGAAAAACATGATGTTTTGGTGTAGCCTATTTTTCTACCAATTTTACCCTTTAATATATAACTTACATAATAACTTCTATTGAAATCACTACTATCATCTTTCACATAACTTTCTACTAGCGTCTAGACAGACACGTCACGTGCCCGTCTGTTCGTTTTTTTAATGCGCATGAATGAAAATATAAACGATATTTTTTATTTAAATAAAATTTAAAAAAAAATTAAAAAAATTACAGTATGTGAAAGTTAATAATAAGAAGTTACGTGGAAGTTAATAATAAGAACTTATTAAGTAAATTACACAATAGAGTAAGGGTTAAAATGGTAGAAAAATAGGTTACACCAAAATAAAGTATTCCCTTTATATATTTTATAGATTATAGATTATTATCTATAACATATATAAAGGCAAAACGTGATGTTTTGGTGTAGCCTATTTTTCTACCAAATGTTACCCTTTAATCTATAACTTACATAATAACTTCTATTGAAACCACTACTATCATCTTTCACATAACTTTCTACTAGCGTCCACACGGACACGTCGCGTGTCCGTCTGTCCGTTTTTTTAATGCGCATGAATGAAAATCTATAACATATATAAAGGCAAAACATGATGTTTTGGTGTAGCCTATTTTTCTACCAATTTTACCCTTTAATATATAACTTACATAATAACTTCTATTGAAACCACTACTATCATCTTTTACATAACTTTCTACTAGCGTCCAGACAGACACGTCGCGTGTCCGTGTTTCTGTTTTTTTAATGCGCATGAATGAAAATATAAACGATATATTTTGTTTAAATAAAATTTTTAAAATTTTTTTTTCAAAAATTACAATATGTGAAAGTTAATAATAGGAAATTATGTGGAAGTTAATAATAAGAACTTATTAAGTAAATTACACAATAGAGTAAGGGTTAAAATGGTAGAAAAATAGGCTACACCAAAATAAAGTATTCCCTTTATATATTGTATAGATTATTAACTTCCTACTATTAATTTCCTACATAACTTCTATTTAAAATAAATATTAAATAAAAAAATATCATTTAAATTTTTACGTGTATATGGGCACGCGAGTACTCGTCTGGATGTTAGTTTACTATAAAATAAATAATTAAAGACTAATATATTCTAATAAAATAAAAAATTTGTTATCTTTTATATTTAAATTTAATTCCAAAAAAAGTATAATACATTAAAGAGAAAAAATGTACATGTATTTTATGAAAAAAAATTATACAAATATATATAAATCAATTATATATATATATATATATATATATATATATATATATATATATATATATATATATATATATATATATATATATATATATATATATATATATATATATATATATATATATATATATATATATATATATATATATATATATATATATATATATATATATATATATATATATATATATATATATATATATATATATATATATATATATATATATATATATATATATATATATATATATATATATATATATATATATATATATATATATATATATATATATATATATATATATATATATATATATATATATATATATATATATATATATATATATATATATATATATATATATATATATATATATATATATATATATATATATATATATATATATATATATATATATATATATATATATATATATATATATATCATATGAGAATGTTATTTTTATCTGAGAATATGAGTATGCATTTGAATTATTAGATTTTAAAATAAACGATACATATTATGTGTGATTTTTGTTTTTCTCTCTCCTCTATTATTAAAATAAATGATGGAGATAAAAAAACGGACACATAATCTCTACCATTTATTTTAAAATTTAATGGTTCAAATTAGTTTTCATATTATAATATAGAAATGACATTCTCATATAATACGTTTTATATATATATATATATATATATATATATATATATATATATATATATATATATATATATATATATATATATATATATATATATATATATATATATATATATATATATATATATATATATATATATATATATATATATATATATATATATATATATATATATATATATATATATATATATATATATATATATATATATATATATATATATATATATATATATATATATATATATATATATATTTCTTGTTATAAGTTAAAGAATTTCTTTAATAAAAAGCATGCGTTAAGGATGAAACATGCGTGAATTGAATTCTTAACATATTTAACTGCAATTTTATATTTATTTACAACAGAAATATTTGTAGCATCGTCATCTTCCTTATGATGTTTCTAGGCATAATCCAGTTGTTTCTAAGCATAAATTATAATGGATAAAACTTCAATAAATATCTCCAATTTATTTTCAATATTAATTTCGAGTACATATTTCTAAAACATAAACCCAAATTCTAAAAAATATTAAAACGTAAATCCAAGTAAACATCAAACGTATGTTTATAAAGCTTTGACTTCAAGAAAACCAAACAATATATATATTTTTAATGAATTTCATCTCTTTTTATCAAATTGGATTTCATAAAGGAGATGCAATTATAAAAATTTGAAAAGAGATAAAAAGAATGAGAAGAGAGAATACCAGGAGCTCATGTGTTATATTTACAGGACAAACTTATTAAGTGAGAGTAGTGTTTTAAAAACTGGACGGGTCATCGAATCAGTGAAGATATTGGGTTATTGGTTTATCGGTCGAACCACTGGGTTACTGGTCGAACCGCATGACTAAATCGGATTAAACCGGATAACTCGGTTGAATAGACCTGTCATTATATAAATATAAAATTGGTCAAACCGGATGATTCAGTTTCTAAAAAAATATAACTAATACTTAAATTTTTTAAAAATATCATATCATAAATTCACAAGTTCATAATTTAAATTCAAATTTTAAACAAATGTATCACACATAACAAAATAATACAAAATTATAAAATAATTACAACATAATCTAATTTTAAACAATTTTTTTTAATTTTTATAATTTTTGTATTTAAATTTTAATTAAAAAATAAAAAATACATTAGAATCGGTCCAACTCTAAATTCGGTTTTTCCGACCCAATCTAATTTTTTCTGATTTAATGACACAGACGATCAAAATAGTTAACTAGACCAGTTACTAGGCCGGTTTCCGGTCCGACCGACCGGTCCGGTCCAGTTTTTAAAACACTGTGCGTGTGAGAGAGTACACAGAGTTTCAGTGTCACACATAGAAAATCAAGTGCTAAATTCATAGGGGCATATATGTAATCACACAAAATAATGGTATAGTTTGTAAAATATCATATAATGGTCACATAATTATTTTTATTAATAGAATAAGAAATGGTATTTATAATTTTTGACTTATTGAGTTAATCGAGACTTTTTAGGCAGCAAAAAACAAAATATGGTACAAATTTCAGAAGATATTTATGTAAGTAACAAAGAAGGAAAGTAAGATTCTTTATTAGCTATATTTGGGAAGACACCCCTTTCCTTTCTAGCAAATTCAGCCACACCATTCTAATCAGGTTTTCTCTTTCTTTCCATTTCCTTTCCTTTTCTCTCTTTCTCTATCTTCTTCTCAATTCTTTCATCTTTTCTTTCTATTATTAGCAACAACATCTTTATATTTATTATTCAATTCCTCTTTGTTTATATTAATAGAATAATTTCCAGATCTGAAACTAGGGTTTTGGTCAAATATTGGTCGAATATTATACATCATATATAAATCTCATTTTCTTAATCAATAAATAAATACTAGATGATTTATTTATGTGTATTATATACGAAATAATGGAAAAAGAGTTTGATTATTTTGAATGTAGCAGAGAAAGGTTAATCAATGGCTCGGCAGAAGATAAAGATAAAGAAAATAGATAATGCAACAGCAAGGCAAGTGACATTTTCGAAGAGAAGAAGAGGAATCTTCAAGAAGGCTGAGGAGTTATCAGTGTTGTGTGATGCAGAAGTTGCTCTTATTATTTTCTCAACAACTGGGAAACTCTATGAGTGTTGCAGTTCAAGGTACGTACGGTAATATTAATTACTATTTTCTACTTTTTCTCTTTTTAAAATATGATAATAATAATAATAATAATGATAATAATAATAATAATAATAATAATAATAATAATAGTTTATGGTTTATTGAAACTTTTTCATTTATGAGATGTAAGGGTAGTATTGATATGACTTGCGGCAAAATAGGGCTAGGTGAGAAGGTACACAGTTTTTACTATGTGGATGGAGTGTCTTAAAAAAAAAAAAAGGAAAATCAATATATAAAATGGTGAAAAGAAATAGAATTTTAAAGTATTTAGATAGGTATATTTTTTTAAAAATAAATCTAGTTTGTTTTAGGGGTCTGTATATTTTATCTTAAAAAAATAAGATTTTTTTTATATTAAAAATGGATTTTATAATATTATTTTTTTAAAAATATTATAAATTTTTTTATATTTGTTTTTTTTTTTTAATTTGAAAGACTAATTTTGACATTCTATAACATAAACATATATTATTGAAGATTAAAATATGATCGAAATCGTAATTTAAAAAATATATATATTTTAAAAATAATTTTTATAAAAAATTATTTGAAATAGTTTAAAAAATTAAATAATATAAAATTTTTTGAATTTGTTTCACATAAAATTATTTTTTAAAAAGACAAAAACTGGTCATATATTGCCAAAAAAAAATCTTTTCATTTATTCAAGGCTTCTAAATTCTTGAAATCTAGTATGCCAAAAAAATCTTGTAGTCAATTGAAATTTTTTATTACTTATATGATTACATTGTCTTCAAAGTTATTTTATTAAAACTATTAAAAATGTTAACTTCAATTCGGATTAAAAAATCTCTTTTTTCTTTTCTTTATAAGATACACTATCACATCAACCAAATCTTTCAACCTAAACAATTTAGATCTAACTATAAAAATTATATATTAATAAAACACTAGTGTTGAGTATTAGTCATATAAGAAGGACTAGGGTATACTTATAATTTTGGTTGCAGTATAAAATATATCACTTGTAACATTTAAATTATAATTCATTCAAATAATAATAATAATAATAATAATAATAATAAAGAATTATATATTTTTTAATTTATTTATTTATAACTGTCAACACCTTGTTTAAATTAATATATAAATACAAATAAATATTACTTTCAGATATTAAACTCTATACTAAAATCAATTACACATATTTTATGCAATTTAAGTATAATGAGATTAAATAACGCAAACTCAAGAGATGATATTGAAGAGGACATAGCGGCTACGATAAGCCTCTTGAAGTCAATAGCTTTGGACTTTGAACTATTAAACTCTATAATAAAATCAACTACTTTTGATTAAAGTTAGGGGGCATTTGCACCTTACAAACTATGAGCATCACAAGTTTTATCACGCTTCTTGTAGATCAAATTAATTTAGTACACACTTAGAATTGTTCTACCCCAATCATTCAAGTGCATTAGTGGGGTACAAAATATGGTCAAAAACTTACTAAAAGATATGACGTGGTTCAATCAAACCACCATAAAAATAAGGTTATAAAGACTATGCACTTGTTATTGGTTTTGGTTTTGGAGACTCTTTTACCTTTCGAGAGATTATAGCTAGTTATGAGAAAGATAAATGGATGAGTGCAATGATGGAAGAGATAGAGTCATTGAAGAAAAATCAAACATGAGAGTTTGTTCAACATCTTAAAGGAAAAATGACCATCAGTGTGTTCAAGAGAAAACCAACAATAGCAGAAAAAGAAAGGGAAAAGTTCAAGACTATTCTTGTAGCAAAGGCGTACTCACAGTAAAATGGGATTGATTATGATAAGATCTTCTCTTCGGTCATCAAACATACTTGTATCAAGCTAGTGTTAGCATTGGTATACAATTGGGACAGACATTCCGAGCAAGAGCAAATGGATGTGAAGATAATATTTTTCATGCTAATCTAGATGAAAAATATTTACTTGGAGTTGCTAGTGGGATTCAATGACACTGAACATGACCGACTATTTTGCAAATTGAAGAGATCTTTGTATGGTTTTAAGTCGTGTCCAAGGCAATGTTACATGCATTTTGATTCTAACATGCTTCAGATTGGTTACTGAAGGTGTGAGTATTTTCGTTGTGTTTAGGTGAGGAGCCTTCATGATGGTTCTTTTACTTTCTTATCATTGTATATTGTTAATATGTTAATTGTGGATAATCATTTACATGTCGTAAATGAATGGAAAATCATGATGAGTAAGGAGTTTGACATGAATGACTTAGCATTGCTAAGAAGATTTTTGGTATAAAAGTTCACAGGGATAAAAGTGCTAGAAAATTATGGATGTTTAAGAAAAGTATGTTGAAAAGGTGCTAGACAAGTTTGACATGAGTAATTTAAAGATTGCGATTACTCCATTGGCGAATCACATTAAACTCTTATGGATAAGTTTCAAAATACAAATGCAAAAGCTAAGTATGTGTCAAAGGTTCCTTATGACAGTGTTGTTGGTTGTTTAATGTACATTATGTCTCCACTAGACCATACTTGCCACAAGTTGTAAGTCAAGTATGTAAGTTTATGTCCAAACTGGCCAAGCGTCATTGGAGAGCAATAAAGTTGATTTTTCAGATACTTGAAGGGTACAATGGACCAAGGTATCATGTTTTGCAGTGAATAGAGTGATCCTTCAGTTTCAAGATATGTTGATTTTGATTATGTTGGTGATATGAATGATAAAAGGTCTACAACATGGTATGTATTTACTTTAGCAGGAGGACCTATTTGTTTGAAATAATTGGTTCAATTCATAATGAGCATATCAACAACTAAATCAGAGTACATAACGACACTTGAAGCTTCCAAAGAAGTCTTAAGGCTTACATGCTTCGCGAGAGAATTGGATGTTGAGCAAGGTGAAATTTCGTCGCATTGTGATAATTAGAGTGTCATTTATTTGGCAAGCAATCTGGTGTATCATGCCATACACTATTTCACCTCCTACGCGTAATTGCATAATGAAAATATTTCAAATTAGCATAATCTTCACATACATGTTTGTTTTAACTTTAAAACAAAGTAGAATTTTTTCTTTATTTTCAAATATGAATTTTATAAAAATGTTTTTTTTTTTTAAATATTATAATTTTTTTTATATTTACTTTTTAAAATTGAAAGACTAACTTTAACATCCTATGACATGAATACGTATTATTAAAGATTAAAAAATAATCGAAATCACATTTTTTTTAATAGTTGAATCACAAAAATTATTTTTTCTAAAAAGTTATTTGAAATAACTTTAAAACTAAGTGATTTTTTAAAAAAAATTTTTGATATAATTTTTTATAATAAAATGATGAAATATCTAAAATAACACTTAAAAAATAACTATTTAAACAAAATTTTTATTTAAAAATTTTATAAAAAAAATTATTTGCACTCAAAATTAAGTTAACACTATAAAAATTATTAAAAAAATCCAAACAAACATGTCCTCAATCTAAATTGTTGTCATTGAATACTATAATTATTTATGAATAGGAAAGAAAAGTTCTACGATCTTTGAATCGTGAAGGTGTTTTTGCTTCATCTTTTAGATGTAATATATTCAAATTCCCTTGTACAACCTTGTTTTGCCTACCCATATTTTTTATTTTTCTAATATCATGCCTTCAAAAAATACTTGATACATTTCAATGCTTTCTGAAAAAAATCGGAATAACCATCAAATGCCATGAAAGGGTAAACCTTTATCTTGTAATCCATATAATTAAGTTTGCTTAAGAGTGGAAGATCCACCTTCCTGAAAAATACCAACATGAATAGCGAGACATGTTCCCATTTGCTTTCAATAGGGCGACATGTTAGTGTACAAGATGATAAAAACAATAAGAATGAGAGAATATATTTATTATTTTGCAATTACGGCTACAAAATCTGTATGAAAGATAGATGGATAAAATACCAAAATACTAAATTATTCTTCAATACCATTCCTTAATTTAGGATTTCCTAATCAAAACTAACAACACCAATTCCATCCCTTAAGTGGTGTAACTGATCCCTCTTGATAGCCTTTGTCAGAACACCTGCTAGCTACTTCTGGGTGCTACAGTGCACAACTTCTAGCTCTCCATTTTGGACTTGACTTTTAAGAAAATTATACTTTGTCTCAATGTGCTTGCTTCTCACGTGCAGAACTAGGTTCTTGGCAAGATTGATTGCAGACTTGTTATCAATCATTAGGTTCAGAGGCTTGTTTACTTTGATCTTCAAATCCAGCAGTAAATTCAAAAGTCATACAGCTTTACACATTGATAATGCAACAATAGGTTTTTTCTTGGAACACCAAGACATATGACCTCCTAGAAATTTAAACAAGTATCCAGAAGTACTTCTCCCATCAACTCTATCTCCACACCAATCAGAGTCTGAGTAACTCATCAGCTCTAAATTAGTATTTCTTCCAAAAGGGAATATCATTCCATACTTTAGAGTTCCCTTGATATACCTTAGAATCTCGACAGTAGCTTGGTAATGAGATCACTTAGTTTTACTCATGAACCTACTAACCGTTCCAACTACATAGCAGATATTAGGTATGGTATTACACATATATCTCAGAGAACCAACCAACTGTTTGAAGGTTGTAACATCCACATCCCTACCTTCAGAATCAGAATCCAATTTGTGATTGGTTTCTGAAGGTGTGACAACAGCCTTACAATTATGCAACTTAAATCTTTTCAGAAGCTCAAGTTCATACTTCAGCTGATGCAAAATGACACCCTTCCTAGAGTACATAAACTCCATCCCTAGAAAATATGTCATTTTCTCGAGGTCAGTCATTTCAAACTCGTTCATCAGCACCTTCTTGAACTTAGCTATCTCTTGTTCAGAACTTTATGTCAGCAATATTTCATCAACATACAGACACACCAGAATCATATTGCATTCAGAGGTATACTGAACGAAAACACCGTACTCCAACTTACATTTCTTAAACCTTTTC